CATTACAAGCCAGGTCCTCACAATGTTGTTGCGGATGGCCTCTCTAGACTCCCCGATGTTTCCTCTGGTATGTGTTATGCCATTTCCATGCCTAATTTCATTTTTATGGATTAGTTAAGACAATTTATGGTCGTTAGTTCTGCTTACAATACATTACTTTTACGTATTCAAATTGACCCGACTGCTCTTCCTGACTATAAGTTGCATAATGGTTTGATTTTATTCAAAAATCGTTTATGGATGGCTCCTAGTAATACCTTCCGCCTCAAGCTTATTGATGAATACCACAGTACTCCAATTGGTGGCCACATGGGCATAACCAAAACTGTTGCTCGACTGTTGGCGAATTTTTATTGGGATGGACTCCAAAAAGATGTTAAACTTTTCATCCAACAATGTTCTATCTGCCAACAAGTGAAGTTTGAAACACACAAACTAGCTGGTCTTTTGCAACCCTTGCCTGTACCTACGGCTGTCTGGGAAGATTTGTCCTTTGATTTTATCACTGGTTTACCTTCTTCTCAGGGCTTCACGGTTATTTTGGTCGTTGTAGACCGATTCTCAAAGGGAGTTCATTTGGGACCATTGCCAACACATTATTCTGCTTCTAAGGTGGCTTAGTTATTTCTTGATATTATCTGCAAATATCATGGCATACCACGCAGTCTCGTATCCGACCGTGACCCTATCTTCATTAGTAGGTTTTGGCGCGAATTGTTTCGCTTGTGTGGTACTAAACTTCGCATGAGTACGTCATGTCACCCAAAAAGGGATGGAAAAATGGAGGTCTTTAACCGAGTTTTGGAGCAATACCTCCGTTCTTTTGTCCACTCCAATCCCTTGTAGTGGTCCAAGTACCTGGCTTTGGCTGAATGGTCTTATAACATTTCTACTCACTCTTCCACCGGGTATTCACCCTTCCATATCATTTACGGCAAGCCAGCTCCGTCTCTCCCTCATACTTATTGGGTTCATACTCCATGGAAGCTGTAGATACCTTGTTGGCATAATGCCAAACACTATTACCACAATTGCAGTGAAAAATCCTTAAAGCTCAGGCCACTATGAAGCATTATGTTGATACCAAATGCCGTGATATGTCTTATGATGTGGGTGATTTGTTTTATGTCCGTCTCAGGCCATATCGGCAACAGTCCCTTTCTGGTTCCACTTATCACAAACTTTCCAAGAGGTTTTATGGACCCTACAAAATACTTGCCCGAATTGGTACGGTTGCTTATCAATTAGATTTACCAGATGAGTCCAAAATTCACACTATCTTCCACTTTTCATTGTTGAAACGTCATCGTGGCCCTGCCCCAGACACCACTCCAATTCCTTTGGAGGCTTTCAACCACCAGCCAATAATTCGCCCCTTGGAAATTTTGGCTACTCGCATGGAAAACTCAACAGATCCCCCAACCACAATGGTCCTTGTTCAATGGTTCGGACTATCACTAGAGGATACGAGTTGGGAAGCATAGGAACCGCTCAGATTCGATTAACACCTTGAGGACAAGGTGTTTTTTCCAGAGGCGGACATTGTTAGCAATCAGACCACAACCCATTTGGCTAATGCAAGGCCCAAAAGGATTACTACTACACCAGCCCATCTGAAGGATTACATCCCATAGAGATCACTATGTAAGCATGTTTCTAGAAGTGCCTAGTCACCATATTTCATTGTTATTTTTGTTTCGTAGATTCCTTTGCTTACAAATCAGGAGGACCCTCTAATTGTAACCAATTTTGATTTGCATGTTTTTGTAATGACTATATATAGCCTTTCGAAGAAATGAAAAGGCAAGCTTGAAATCAATTATATGTTTCCTTTCTCCTATTAATTCTCAAGGGTTCCCTTAGCCATCAATTAAGGAAGAAACACCTAACAAAAATAGAATCTATTTAAATTTTTAAAACACGAGACAACAGAGAGAAATAAATCATTTTTTAATTAATAAATTTAAACAATATTCATAAATTATTATTCTTTTAAAATAAAAGAGTTTATTTTTGTCCCTACTCATTGTGCGCGCACACACCATCGTCTCAATCTTAATAAATATATTATAATAGATAAAATATAACTTAACTCACCTAGAAGTAGGGGTAGTAATGGTAAGTAGGGGTAGTAACAGTTTGATTTGGTTATAAAGTTAACTTGATTAAAGTTTTATGGGTTGAATTGAATCGAATTTGTTGAATTTTCTTGTTAAACCCATGTTTTAGATTGACCGAATTAGTTTTGACCATTTAAAATTGTTTTAATTTTTTTGAAACTGAATTTTTTTCTTACTAATTTAACACATTCTAAAAGAAAACAAAATAGAGAAGCATATATAGATCATATAATTTTTATTTCAGATTAAAAATGTCACAACAAACTAAAAAGAATAGAAATTGGAATTAATCGATTTGAGTACCTTATTAGTTGCTAGATCTTAATGAGTTTGAAAATTAATTGATACAAAAAATAATGCATGATAGTTCGTATAATCATATTTTGAAAAAGAGTAATGATATATGTGCTATAAAATTATACAACAACTTATATGACATTACTCTTTTGTTTTTGTCTTTTTCTATCATTTCATTCATTACATTTATTAATGATGAAAGGAGATAATACAAAAAAAATAACATATAATTTTCTTATACATATATCATTACTCTTTGAAAAAAGAAAAAAAAAAGGACTACTAGCTCAATTATCAGATAACTAGATGTAATGAATTTGGTTATGATATAAGTTACTTACTTGAGAAAACCACATTAGTGGTCGCAAAAAACATTGCAACAACTATAAAAGTAATAAATTTATCTTCTATTAAAAGAAGTTAATGAGGTCTAAAACTTTTTTGTTTTTGCAGTTTTATAATTAATATATATATAACAAAATTATAATATACACATGGATGAATCAAATTCATAGCGGGTAACAAATTCAACATCAAAACTCATTACTCAACTCGTATATGAACAAATCTTAATGAGTTGAGTTGGATTTTACTCAAATACTAAAATATTCTAAATTGAAATAATTGGATTAGTTTAGGTTCACAAATTATTCGTACCCGTATACATCTATATGCATAAGGACAAAATTTAGATACAGTTTTTTAGGTTCGATTTGTGTTTTTTTTCTAATAAGAATTGGAAATTTACCTTGATAATATACACTCACATTTAATGCATATCTCATTTATATACATTTATACATTACCATGATAAATATCCAATTTTGGTTGGAGAATAACACCAACCACACCTAAAAAATTGTGCATAAGTTTTGCTCTATCTATAAATACTTGAATGAAACAAAACTCTTGAGGATAACCACTTCTAACTCGTTGTTAATGATTGATTGTTGCTCAATCTCTCACAAAGAAGTCTAGACACAAATGATAATGAAGGCTACATTATTATCTTTATTGTCACACCAATATTTAACATATTTGAATGTGAAAACGGTTAAAGTTAAATTCTATATTTTATTTTTATCTAATTTGTAATTTTTGTTTTCCTATTTTTGATTATGAAACTTTGGTTTCTCGATTTATAAAATTTCATATTTGTTCCTATTGTCAATTTTTTGTCTAAAATTAAGTCCTTTGAAAATTATTTACTAATTTTGTTTTGAAAGTATTTATCAAAATGTGGTAGTCAACGTTTGAAAATGATAGTCGAAATAGTATTTTCTATGTCACATTTATTTATTTTCTTCTACGTGACACTACATCCTCGACTTCATCTATATAGGCTTCAAGATACTTACACTTAAATCCCAACTTTCAATTTACAAAAGTATGAAATAAGGGGAGAGTTCAAATAAGTGTACATTAAGCCTTCGAATCAATAAGTGCAACCTCATGATAAGGTATATCTAAATTTAGTTTATTTTTATTATTATCAAAAATTACTTTCAAGGAACACCATATATCAATTTTGGAAAGTAATTTTCTGAACTGTATTTTTTTTCTGTTAAAAATAGTTTCAAAAATTACTCTATGAAATTATTATAGTTGTTTCCAAAACTAATTTTCGGTACTTTTAATTTTCTTTTGACGAAATGAAAGACTATTTGAAGAAAAAAAATACTTATTAACACAATTTTTTTCAAAAATCGGGTGCAATTGTGCAAAAATAATTTAAGGGAATCAATATTTTAGAAGCAAGGAGGTTCCACGAAATGAGAAGTATTTAAAAAAGATAATAAAAATAAAGGGTATTAAGGTATATTTACATGTCAAAAATAAGGGAGGGGGTGTGTTTAATAAATAGGGAGTGTACACATAGTAAAATCTGAATTCTAACCAACTTAGAAGTGCAAACGTACGCAAGAAGGGGCATATGAAGCCCAATGAGTTTAAATTCTCTCCATTTCTTTCTCTTAGTTACTTGTTCATTTCAAAAGTTTTGAATGTATAAATGATATTCAATTTTAATTATAAAAATATATATTAATATTTAATGTTATTTATACACTAAAAAGGATCTGAATTCAAGCCCCATACTCCCTCTTCAATATTTAATTCATAAATAATTTAAGATAAATAAAAAACCAACTTAGATAAGAAATAAAAAAATATATATATCTACAAATTCTCTCGTTGAAAAAATAAAACTCCTAAAATACTCTCCCACAAGATAATGATTGGTGTTCAATATGAGTTGATAACAAAAGAAATAATGATCTCATTTTTTTTAATAGATATTTTTACCCTTCAAACCATCCCATAATTCTGTGTCAACATAAATGATAAAAAAAAAAAGTCATATCAATTACATGTTCAACAAATCCAATACTATAAAATAAAAAAAATACTAACAAACAGTGTGTCTCTCTCAGCTAGTTTTCAATAAAAGTATGTCCATAGTTGGTAGAAAACTAATCTTGTACTGCAAAACTCGCTTGTAATCATTGCATCCCAAAAGAATTAGTTTGAAAAAACATCCTAGGTCAAAAAGGAAACACTAATCCTTTACCTGACTCTAATCAATTCTTTATCTAATTGGTCCTCTTCTCTCATTGAACTATATCAGCAGCCATCTCATTAAAGAGATATCAGGAAGTTAACAAGAGTGTCAAATGCCCATTGAACTATCAGTAATAAAACCATTAAAAACCATAAAAAAGAAGTAACTCTCATTAAGTTGTCAGGTATTCAATGCAAAATAATTGAGCTACATTTTCTAAACTACCAATCATGTATCCATCCATGATGACCTTGGCAATGATGATCCGAATATTTTGTAAAGCAATATTTTCTCCCTTTTGCTTAGCTTGTTTGCACCATAGCCTCGAAAAACCCCCAACTTCAATGCTTCTCTTCCTTCTTCAACAGCTCTTTTCCTCACACCTCTCATTAAGGATGAACCATGAGGAGTTTCATTATTTTCAGCTTTTCCAGTTTCATGTGCCACCTTATCTGCTTCCACTGCTTTCTCTTCAACCTGATTCTTGGCTCCATTCGCGTTGGCGCCGGCACAATCACCACGATCACTATTCCCCCACCATTTATTTGAAGTGGTTGATAACCCTTCTGATGGAAATCCACACTTGAATTCATCCATTGTTGTCATTGCTTTAGTTAACCCAGTGTTGACCGCATTCTGTGTGCGCCCACTTTCAACATTCTTGTTTCCTTGTTGCTGATGTGAATTCTGAAGCACTGTAACACCTTGTGCTTTGGCCCTCTCATCATTTGTTTGTTGTATAACACTGCAGTCAAAAATCAACATAGACTAGTTATAAAGAATGATCAAACAGGTTAGAAAATCTATACTTATTATTAGTCTATAAAACATCTGCTGATCTGCATGCAAATTTTCACTGAATGTACCACACTACCAAGTTCTAATGTATCCATGCCATTCAGATAAAAGTTTCATTTTTGTTTCACAACATTTGTAATACCATGGGAAACTTGGAGAGAAATCTCAACAATTTATTTTTATATCAAAGATCAATATCAAATAATGCTTCTGAGGGAATTTGAACTAAGTAACACCTCCATACTGGACATTACTTGACACAACCCAAGCTACAATTAGTTGAGTAATTTCATTCTGTAAGTTTTTTTTTAAGATTTGATGACTTCACAAGCACAAAATAAACCAGGAACAATCAAAAGCACAACATATTAATAATTAGAAATACATATTCCCTTCTGCTAAAAACAAGAAGTTTGTTAGCAATGAGAAAGAAGTAATAATAAACACTAGATCTAAAATAACCCAAAAAAGAGAAAAGAAAAAGGACAAACAAGAAAGCACATTAGATAAGCAAAGCTTTCCAACCACTACTTATCCAACAAAGAAAGCTCCCCAAAATTAACAACATAAATTTGGAGACATTAGCAAAAAATTCTTGGCTTCTTTATTCCAACAAAATATCTTAGACAACATATGAAAAAGTGCACCACATTCTGTGGACAAATTCAACATTTACCAAAAGTCTACTCTTCAGATAAATAGTATTAATAAGATTAAAAATAAATGGCAGTTGATTTTAACAATTAGACAAAAACATGAAATAAAAAATTGGAGAGAAATTAATGTATAATATACCATGGCCATATATTACCTTTTCCATAGAGAACTTTTAACAAAATAGCAATATCGAGGAACTACCTCATACATTTGAACTGACAATTGTTTAGGTACACATAAGAGGGTTGAAGTTGAAATATGAAAGCTAGTGATGGACCATAATTGATAAGGAAACAGACACGTCCTATCTATGATCTGTGATAAAGGGATATTAATATAGTATATCAAAATAATAAGAGCTGATTGATGATGAAAAATCAGATTTCATCAAAATGGTCAAAACTAATAGAATGGATAGCCTTTGCTAGACTTTAAAACATACCTTTTGTTGTTGCCACTTATCAAAACCATTGTCACAGCCCTGTTATCACAACACTTCAAACACCACCTGCAGCATAAAGTTTGACGAACCTTAAAATTTACATAATAATACTCATAAAACACTGAAGCTTGTAATGTGTACATAGCAATAAATTAAAGTATGTACTACACTACTCATGAAACACTAAACTACAGCATGTGTTAGCTTTCAAAAAGTTTCTCAGTGCACATAGCAATATTCAAATGCCTAAATATGAGTATATGACCAACACCAACATTTAAGTACATGCACTTAGCTAAACTATTGAGGCAAACAAAATTAGTACATAATAAGAACTGTGGAGAAAGAAATGAACATAGATAGTGTGATGAACATGATCTGTTCAGAAGTATAAACAAAGAGATAAGAACACAATCTGCTAAGCACGTGCTTAAGAGGTTGACTTCCAATTTTTTTTTTTATTCAAGAATCTAACTCGTAACCACGTACTTAAGAAATAAGATTATCTACCATTCATGTCACACTTTATTTTACCCCATCATAATCGATTTTCACCATCAAAATAGATTTTTACATATAGTAATCCATTTTTTTTTTAATAAATTTTTTACCTTATTTCTCCCTTCCCTATTCCTTTAATCCAAAGAACCCTAAAATCCATCCTATTTCTTTCTCTCCTACCGAACACACCATAAGTAAATTGATGACCTTGCCCACGAAGAAATAAAAGAAAATATATAGCAAAGCATACTTTTCTCTCTTTCTTTCTCTTTTTTAATCATCAATTACTTGAACTTTTCTAAGGTAAAACACCTATGCTTATTTTAATTTTTCACCACTCCTTACCCTATCAAAAAATACCAAAAATTCATCCCATAATATATTTTCCTATTACTTGAAAGTTAAAATTTTCAAAATTCCACTTTTCTATTATTAGATTCTCTTCCCAATTTTCCTATTGCTGATGTCAAAAACAGTCTTGCTTCAATTCCCATGTCCCCTTTTGAACTTAAATCAGCAGCATGTTGGAATACTATACATACATAATCACTTGCTGAGAAGAAAATAAAAATTCTCAATTTTTTTTTTTTTAACTAGAAGCTAAAGCCAGTTTAAGAAAAAAAAAATTATTTTATTTTTATTTTCTTCTACTCAAATAAGTTTATCCAAACTAGTCTATAATAATCACTGATAGGGAGAAGAAAAGGAAAACATAAAGTAAAATGAAATAAAGTGAGAGGGCATTGAGGTAAAAAAAATAATGTGTGTGGGTTCTTCTTCCTTGTAGATTTGGCGAATTTGGGGTTTTTTATGCTATTAGAAAAATTATAAATTCAAATAATAATAAATTCATAAAAGGAAAAAAATGGAAAAAGAATTCAAAACATCCGAAAGCAGAAAACTTGTGATTTTTGTATAATAAGATGAAAAAAAAAAGGCTTTTGAAGCGAATCAGAGAAAGAAGAGATTGAGGGTTACCTGAGAAGAAGTGAGAAGTGTTAATTAGAACAGCGTGTGTAGTGTGGCCATTTTCACTTTTCAGTTTCAACTTCGTAAAAGTGCGTTTTGGACTGGAAACTGAACTCAAGACGATTGAAGTACATAGAAATAAGTAATGGAATTACGATAATGACCTTTAGATCAATATTGTATTTTTTTTCTTCTTACAGTTAATATTGTAATAGAATTTTTTTTCTATAAAGACATTTAAATTAGTTTTTAGTTAGCACTTAAAGTGAGATCGAGATCTTTTGAGGATAAGAATGAAAATAGATTAATTAAGATATTTATGATTTAATATGTTTAAAGTTTTATTTTGATAGTTTTATGTTTAAAGTTTAAATTTTTTTAAAATTATTTATTTAAAAAGATTAAATTTATACTTATAAAAAAATCTGTTTATCCATTTGGTATAATAAAAAAATTAGTCTACATCTATTATTAACAATACAACTAAATAAATGAATTTGTAATACAAACATCAAATTAATATTTTTAACATTTTCATTATATTTAAATGTTTTATATTTGACATTTTTGTTTATTTTTGTTTTCATTTATTGATTATTTAAAATATTTAAAATGAGATATAAAAGATATTTAAAAAAATCTTTTTTATAAAATTATCTTATTTTATTATAGTATGTGTACAAGTGTATGTTAGTGTATATGATATGTATGATTTATCTCTCTTTTAATTTTTTATTTCTATTTTAATAATACTTAAATAAGTTATTTTTTATCATACAAATTATAAAAAAATTCGTGCAATATATTTTTAAATATATTATTAATTTATTTTAAATTAAATTTGTTAACCTATTTAATATTATTAATATAAAATAAATTTTTAAATAGAGTAATAAAATTAGACTTTTAAAAAAATTAGATCTAATATATAAAAATATATATAATAAATAATAAGTGAAACTTAAATTTTAATTTTATACATATTGCACATGAGTGAATTACTATTCGTTAATATTGCAATACATTACTACCGAAAGATATTCCTTAGCTCTTCTAAAAATAAAATAAAAAAGAGTATACGCATATATAGTTTACTACTCCTAGTTAATAATTTAGAAATAGAAAATGTGAACAACTATCTTTGATTAGTATTATTATAAAATAATAAATTATGGATAAATATGAATTATGTTGCATATTTATTATTATTAAAATAAAACAAAAACTTTTGATAGTTATGACAGTTCTTTATATATGATAAATTTTAATAATTTATTTATCAAATTTAATTTTTTTATTTAATAAATTAAGTGTATAAAACTTTATAATTATTTTTTTATTCATTAAATAAATGTATAGTTTATTTAAAATTTAGAACGTATGATTGTTAAAAAAAATAGTGAAATATTTTAATGGTTTCAAGTTTGCATTTTTAAAAAATTTAAAAAATATTTGATATTTTTTTTATTAATTTAAATCAACATATTAAATATTTTTATGATTATCCGTCAATTTAAATTAATGAAATAAAGTATCATATAATTTTTAATTTTTAAAAAACCTGTAAACTTTATTTATACATTAATAATTATTAATTCAACGGTTGAATGATTTAGAACATAATTTATTGGTTATAAGTCGATTGTTGTTATTGAAGAGGTGCCTTATTTGTTCTAACAATCAAGAGGAGACTCTTTCGATCATCCAAATCTCTAAGAACATCTCCATACAACAATTCCAGGAACTCATTCCGTTAGAATGGGTATTGCATGAAAATAGAAAGTCAATACAATTGTTAGAAGAGATTTTCAAGAAGTCTATAGATGAAAATATAAAAATCATCTTCACAAGAAATGATGAAGTTTCTAGTAGCAGTACATCTTTAGGGTTTAGGATTTAGGGTTTAGCAGTAGTTCATCTTTCATCAGTGATGATTCTTCCGATTACAAAGCAAGGAAGATTCCTATTTACGTTGTTCACCTTGATAGAAGACCTATTTATATTGATAGGATGGATGGTCACTTCATATCGGATGTAGATCCTAAGAGTATCTTTGTTGCAAGTTCTTATAAGCAATTTAATGAGTTCTTTTTTCCACTTTAAATGGGATGCACTATGTTACATCACTTTTAAACAACTCATTATATTTTTAGAAATTTTGCTCCAATAGTTAGTTCTTATAAGCAACCTACACTTTATAATTTTTTAACAACTTAAATAAATAATTTAATTATTATAATTAAATATTAATTTGATATTTTTGGAAAAGAGTATGGACTTGATGTTGGAATGGGATCAAGTTATTTTATTTATTTTGGTTTTTACTCTTTCATTTTTAATATTTATATTCTTTCCTTCTCCATCCCAAAAACCTTCTCTCCCAAACCTCTCAAGAAAAAGTCTCAGCACACATAGATGAAAAAGCATCATCTTGTTCCTCTTAATGTTCCTTTTTTCTTATGCAAATCTGGTATGGTCTGCTTATTTGGGTTTCACGAGTTTTATCTAAAAAAATTATTTTTTTTCAATTTTATTTTTCCAAATCTTGTGTTGTTATTTTTTCTCACTAGTTTATGATATATTTTGAAATTATTGTATCTATTGAAGGTTAAAGTTTTGATCTTTTTTGTTCAAGTTTCAAATTTATTTTTTTGGTACGTGATTCTTCTTCTATGATAATATCGTTTTTTTCTCACTAGCTGTTTGTGATGTTCGTTGGTAGATTTTGAACTAAAAAATATTTTTTATTTAGAAGCACCACCCCTTATTTAAGGGACATTGCTTATTTTCAAGCAATTCAGTGTGCCATATACTTGGACTCCAATGGTAGTTGCTAGTAAGCATTGGTTCTTGTCAATAAGATACAACAGAAGCAACTTGCGATAGAGATGCTATAATATGTGTGATCCTGATTATGACTGTGGATAGGATTGCATAGATAAGAAAAACCTAAACCTCTTTGGATTTATAAAAGAGGTTTAGAATTATTAAGAGAGGGAGGACTTTTTCCTCTTAAAGAGCCTCTAAAGTATAATAGGTGTAATTAAATTATAGATTTACCAATCAATCAAATAATTCCTTGCATGATGTTTACTGGAACATCATATGATCATGAGTTCTCTCTCCTGATAGAAAGTCTGATTAAGTTACTAAAATTACCACCAAGCCAAATGTCTCTTCACTAGAAGTTGGACCCGATAAAAGGCTTGAACTATTATGTCAAGCAAAAGAAGTACTTAATTAGTAGATTGAAAATGCCAAAGCCTAGAACACCATCTTAAAAAAGATTGACGTAAAGATAGACAAAATCTCTTCACATCTTGAAGAGTCAGATATGGAAGGTTACAATATCTTTCTTCAAAGATGAGAAAATATTACAAACAACTTTTAACTAATATTTCTTGTTTAGAAGAATATTGAAGAAAGAG